AATATAGTGGAGATGCACGCTTCGTACTTAGTAGGCGATGAGTTGTGGGTAGTTATGGAATACATGGCCGGTGGGTCTCTCACAGACATCGTGACCCGCTCCAGAATGGACCCGGAGCAGATTGCAACAGTCTGCAAACAGTGCCTCAAGGTAACTCTATTCGTACAATGTAGGTCACCTGTTATCTATGTTGAAAGTTAAACATGTTTCGTAACATGAATCTTTTTGAAAAGATTCGCATTTATAATTCTGGAACTGTATAACTGAAAATGGGGTGGTGAAAATATTTTTTCTCAACGTGCATTATTCACGAAATATAATGTGATAATATTATATAATATTAGCACGAATAATAAAGTTATTAACACATATGTAAACTTTTCGATGTAACAACGTCAAAAAAATTATAGAAATTACATTAATTTTTGCTAATTTTCAAAAAAACTTTTAAGACATAATTACTAATAGTAGTAAATGATAGATATTATTGCGAACAAAAAACTTTAAAAACGTGGTTTTATTTTATTCGAAATAAATTATGTACCTAGCGAATAATGTTTTATAGGAATACTAGCAGTCGCCTGCGACTCCGTTCTCGTGTTTGACTAAAAAATAAAAAAAAGCTTAGGGGTGGCCGATTCTCAGACTCAATATGCTCACAAAATTTCATGAGAATCGATCAAGCCGTTTCGGAGGAGTATGGGAACGAAAATTGTGACACGAGAATTTTATATACAAGATAATGATAAAAATTTAATATTATTTTTCAGGCGTTGGCATTTCTCCACGGCCAAGGTGTTATACACAGAGACATTAAATCTGATTCAATACTACTGACAGCAGATGGTCGAGTCAAATTATCTGATTTCGGATTCTGTGCTCAAGTTTCACAAGTAAGTGTTACTTAGTTATCTTTATATCTTATATATTTTATTAGGGTATTAATTATTATTCCTTAGTTAGCTTTAAAATTCAATATTGATCATCTTAATTATGACTCGATTTGGAATTGATCCAGTAAATTTTCTCCATGTTGGTGCACACAATATTAGTGTGGACAAAAAAACAAGTTTGGTAACATGTCTGTAAAGAAGAAGAAATCACTTGCCTAGGTCATCTTTTGCTTGGATTTATGAATCTTAATCAAACAAAAATTATTTCTAGGAGTTGCCAAAACGGAAGTCTTTAGTGGGAACACCATATTGGATGTCTCCAGAAGTTATATCAAGACTTCCATATGGTCCAGAAGTTGATGTCTGGTCACTGGGGATAATGCTCATCGAGATGGTCGATGGAGAGCCACCATTCTTTAATGAACCTCCATTACAGGTGAGTTTCATAAATGAAGAATTAAGAAATGTAAAGTCAACATTTGAGGTTATAAACTTGATAAACTCGATCAGGCGATGCGTCGTATCCGCGACATGCCCCCGCCGCGGCCGCGTGGTGCGGCTCGCTGTCCGCCCGACCTGCTGCAGCTGGTGGAGTGCGCGCTGGTGCGGGACCCCGCGCAGCGCCAGTCCGCGGCCAGGCTGCTGCATCACCCCTTCCTGCGGCGAGCCGGCCCGCCCGCCCTGCTCGTCCCTCTCATGCCACCTCACCACCAGACGGCGACACCCCACCAGTAACAGTAACAAGTAAAATTATAATATTACACAGATTAAATAGGTATTTGATAATGAAAATTATTTGGTATGAACAATGTATTCACCCACTGGCATGTCATCATATTGGTACAGTATGTATCATTGCTTTGTCAACTGCAATACTCGAATTCAGTGTTCTTACATATCCTTCATTGGTAGAAAGTTAGTTAAAAACATCAACAATCCCAACTATTACTTGAAACACTTCGGAGAATGAAAATCAAATTTGCACTACAAAATTTGTCAATTTATAAGGTTTTTTTATCGTGAGATAAATCGTATTTCATACTAATATTAACTTCATTACTAAAATAGATTATTAAAACAAGTTACATACAATGTCATACACATTTATTACTGAAACGGCTTTAAGTCCATTGGCATTATTAGGAATGTAAAATTGCTACTTCAGTGTATGTAAGGTCAAATGGAAAAAAAAACAACAGAATTTTTACTACTTACATGTACTTACCAAGAAAACTTATTATTCCATACAAATTACACAAACACTTTCATACATTCCTCTAATTTCACTATTTTATGTATTAATATTTAGTATGTTTATTGTTATTGAAGATATTGTCGTGTTTTTTATTGCCATAAAATTGTTATTTATCTAGTAGTTTAAATGTAACTTATGCCTTAAATAGTTTAGAATAAGACAATTAACAGTGATAGATAACATTTGGTTCAAATATTTTCACCCCGTCCACAGTTTGTTAAAATGTTATAATGTACAAGTTATATTTATGTACTTAAATTGTTAATTAAATTAATAAAAAGTTGAATGATACATTTATATACAAATAAAAATAAAATCTTGCCTTAACCATGACAGCTTTGAAAATGCGAATATGTTAGAAAATAGATTTGATATTTACAGCGATTTTAATTACAGTATCATACTAAGTTTTTAATGTTGAGTGTATATGACAAAATGCTCGAACCTTTTTTTTTATTTTATAGTTTTTGTTATAAAAATTTCAGAACAATTTTGCTGTATTCAACAATTAGATATCATAAATAATTCTATGCTATTTTTAATGTCACTCGGATGAAAATCAATTATCTTGAAAAAAAAATTATGGGTAATAAAGAAGGGAGAAAAAATAGGCTTAATTAAAATTAACATATCATTGTATAGTTTTACATATTGTATCTTTTAAAATTATCATTATGTTTAAGCCAACTAATTCCGATATATACAGCTTTAATAATTTATGTACAAAATTTGATATGTTTGGCACATAAGAGTAGGACAAAAAAAAGAAAAGAAATCAGGATTTTTTTTAATTTTGTTAAACAGCAAATTAATGGCTATGATTTTATCTCTTATAATGTCTGGTTTAAAAAAAAAACAATTTGTCTTTAAAATAATAGTGCCAGGATAAGTGCCTAAACATTAAAATCAGTATTAAATTTTTTAATCATGTACTAATTTAGAGTGCCCTATTGCATTTCTTCAATGTTTTAAATCGTAATATTGCTATACTTAGAATAAAGGTTTTCCATTTTAAACATTGTAGATAGCTTTTTACATCATCTGCCTTGTTTCACATTCCAAAAATTAATTTCATTATTTAATTTATATATAAATTATTTTTAATAAGACAAAATCAACTTTACATTTTTATTGTCACAAATATTTTTTTAATTCTTTTTTCGACTTGAAATTATAATGGAATATTGTTTACAATACAGAAACGCTAGTTTTTAGGAAGCTTATGTATACATTAACTTTACTATTTACTTAAGGGTTGTTTTATATTCGCCTTATATATCATTCTAATGAGCCGTATTATATGTAAGTGTTGGTAATCAATTAATTGCAACTTTTAGATATTAAAATTTTATGGTACGTAATTTATAACTATATTTAATGTACTGAAATAAACAAATCTTAAATTAAATTACTTACCAATATTTAAACTTTAATCTATCAAATATTATACCAAATTATGAAGTGTATACTGTATTTGAGCTTTCATTGTTAAAAGGTATCTTTGCAATTTGGTAAGGTAATATTTTGATGCGGACTCCATTGGTGTAGTTTTCCCCAGTGATTTCTAAGGCAGCTATATCATGTGTGAATAAAAACTTTAATTAAGTGCCTTAAATTGTTATATAACATGTTGGTACTGTTTACTTGTTCAATGTTGCATAGTATCATCACATATGGATTCACGTTTAATTGCGTCTTATCAATGTAATTTATTTGTATCAGTTTTCTTAAGGTTGTATGCCAAATATATTGTAATGAAATCACATTGTTAATAAGAAACTGTTATGATATATAGATTTGGAAATATTTTACGTTTTATTTCAGCGAGAACCATGTAACCTTTTTGGAGATACCCTCATCAACCATCCATCCATCTAAACATTCACATTTATATTAGTAAGATTAGAAAAATGTTTGTTATGTTGATGACAAGCAAAGAGCGTAAACTTCTCAAAATAACTTTTCCACGACTTTTGTACAAACACAAATAATATGATATATAAAGTTGAAATTAGAACATAAACTCATAATTTATATTACAATAAAAATAAAACAAAGAAATATACGAATGACAGTTTATTTCCAATTAAAATAAAACAATAATTATATATGGAGAATCATTAAAGTTCTTATTTGTAAAATTCGTATTCACTCTCATCCTTCTTGATATTGTTCTTGTATCCTTTTTCGAAATCTTTAGGCAGTACGATGTACCTAAAAAGTAAATTTAAATGAAAAAAATGTCTAAAGATATTTTAAAGTTGTTTTTCTTAGTATTTTTATGTCAATGATTACTGCAATAAAAACGCGGGAACGGAAAACAATGTGTCGGCCATTTTGGATTTATTCGTAGTGTTCTGTACTCCATTAAAGTTTTTTTTATTGCGGCGGCCATCTTGGATTGTCAAGCGAACAAAATATAATACCTGTTCTCTCTGACGGCGTGCATGCCGGCTTCCTGGCAGATAGCGTTGATGTCGGCACCCGACACGCGGTCCGGCCGCGCCACAAACTCTTCCAGATCCACCTCCTCCGACAGGTTCATCTTCGCCGTGATAGTTGAGAAGATCAGACGCTTCTGACGCCTGCCATAAATAATTACAAGTTATATATCTCTGTGTTTCAGGATTTTAAATAAAACTAAATTTTAGTTACATCTGTATGCTAAATCTGACCTGTCAGGTAGAGGGAATTCTATCTTCCTGTCAAGGCGGCCGGGCCGCAGCAGCGCGGGATCCAATGTGTCGGCACGATTTGTAGCCATTATTACCTGAAATCATACAATTTTACCTATACCCAATTTCTGAACAACAAATTTCAAAAAAATACTTAAATCTGTCAAAAGACAAAACTGCATATCCTTTAGGTCTATACTGTCTGCACTTACTTTGACATTAGTGGTCTGATCAAAGCCATCCATTTGATTGAGAAGCTCCAATAGAATTCTCTGCACTTCTCTGTCAGCTCCGGTTTGAGCATCAAAACTGGAAGACAGAGAAAAATACATGTTGATCAAAGAAAAGTTTAGAAACAACTTCACCATAAAAATTATTATATTTATAACCAATTACCAACAAATATAGTTAATTCAGTCGGGTAAAAAGTAAAAGGTTTAAATTTTAATTCTTATAACATACCGTTTTGTAGCAATAGCATCAATTTCATCAATAAAAATAATAGCAGGGCTGTTCTCTTTAGCAAGACGGAACACGTCTCGCACCATACGTGGACCTTCACCTAAGTACTTTTGCACAAACTCAGAACCAACAACACGAATGAATGCAGCTGAAAATAGAAAAAAATTAAATAAATTAGAAAGTCAACAAAAAATCAAGGTATTAACTTTGAGTTATATATACAGTCAAACTTGGGTTAGCATGAGTAAGGGAATGCAATTTCTCGTTTATAGCTGTTTCTAACTGAACTGGAGGTTGTCTGTCACGACTAAACAGTGACTAACTTATAGAGCTTTCAGGTCTAACTGTATCTAAACTTCAGTGGGTAAACATATTTCAATACATGAATAAGACACCAAATTACAATTAAGCTTCCTAAAAATTAATGTTGACTAACCTGTAGTATGATGCGCAACAGCTTTAGCCAACATAGTCTTGCCACAACCAGGAGGTCCGTACATCAGCACACCTCTTGGAGGCTCAATACCAATCTGCCTATACAACTCAACATGAGTCAGGGGCAATTCTACTGCTTCTCTTATCTCTTGCTTCTGTGTATCCATACCACCAATATCTGAGTATTGCACATCCGGTTTTTCATCTGAAATTAAATTTGAATACTTAGAAACTATCTTTTTAATAAAAACGGGAAATGGGCACTGCATAGCCCGGAAATGACTTTGGAGCATAAGATATTTGAAGTGCACTATAAGTAATAATTGACTAAATATTTGATTTATTAATGTTAAAAAAGGAAATAACATTCTAGTTTATTGTATCCAGCAGAAATTTACAATAAAAAATGCCATAGTTTCCTTAATTGTTATTTTCAACAAAAAAATAATATCTGTGTACCATAGAAATTACATATCTTTATATATATTATATTATTTATAATTCTTCTGTGAGTGTGTATGTCACTGAACTTCTATCAAACGACTGGACCGATTTTGATGAAATTTTTTGTGTGTGTTCAAGGGGATCTGGGAATGGTTTAGATTCACAATTTTCATCAAATATTAACTTCATATTAATTTATTCAAATTAAAGATGTGTAGACAGGACAACAACTGTCGGGTCCGCTAGTTTGCAATAAAACCTATTCTAAAGTACTAACATAATCAAATTTTGTTATGTTACACACTAAAATAAAAACTCGATTATATGAGACAATGCAATTATCATGTCTTACCTGCTTGCAGCATGGATATAGAGCTGTCAGCCTCTGGTGGTAAAACATCTACAAGAGCATTTGAGTGCTTATGCAGGGCCACAGACGCTGATGGTTTAAGCAGCTCACGGTCAATTGTAGACAAGATTCGCACATAGTAATTGGAACCAGTTGTACTTCCAACTGTAAAATAAAAACATTATTTAGCACACAGATTATCAAGTATCAGTTATTTAGTTATTAATATTTTTTTACTATATACTTCTTATACTACACTAATTAAAGATAACAGCTATACTCATATGCATTTTGGTCTAGGTACTGAGTAATTTTTGATGTGATCTTTAATTACTGTAGTGTAAAATAAAATATTATTTTTATTACTCGGTTAGGATAGTTCACAACACAACTCACACCCTAAGTTAAAATAAGCAATTTATTTAATAATACCTATGCCAGTATTTTGATCAACAGCTTCAAGAAACTGTCCAATGACCAAGGGGACTGATTGGATCCGTTTAACTTCCTCTTGAGCATGTAGGTACTCTTTCTTGAGATTTCTTTGTTCATCTTTTATGTATTCTTCTTGGACTTCTAAAAATTCTAACATCCGCTGCAATTTCTGCAAATATAGAACATTGTTTGAAACAGGAACTTGATATTTTTTTTTTAGAGAAATGACAAAGACAAAAGCACAATGAATATATAAAATTAATAGAACTTTGAAAATTACCTTGTATTTTGTGTATAGATCTTCTGATTCCAATTCATCGAAAGTTTGGGGTCCAGCGAAAGATAATCCTTTTGTGTCGGTCACTTGGTCATCCTAAAATTACAAAAAGGTTAATAATTATTGTCGAAAACAATACGTAAAATTTATTAAAATGTTTATGAATTACCTTTTCAGGCAAAATTATACCAATTTCTTCCATTTTAGAAAATATTTAGTCACCGTGTTATTTGACTTTATTAAAACCACAAGCACAGCACAGATTATAATAATTGATGAATCAAATGCTGTCAGCTGTCAAACTGTTTTAATTTACGCCGTCATGCTCGTTTCTTTTCACGCATTCAATAAAACTTAACTTTCATATCGCAATAGCAATAATATTCACAATATTAATTTTATTTCAATGCATCATTTTACTATTAGAAAATTATCGGGAGTCCGAATTGACTTTACCAAGAGCCATTTTTTCACAATTCTGATCTGCCAGCGGAGGCATACGGGCTGTGGCAAAATTAGGATGGAATTATTTTTCAATTTATTTTCAATATCGTTTTGATATTAGCGTTTTAGAGTCGTTGACTTTATTATAAAAGTGTAGTTTAACAAACAAAAACCAAGGTTTCAATATGAATAAAATCTATGTGAGACTAATCGAGGCATTTAATTATATAGGTATTATATACCTATAGCTGTCCTGTTCGCCTAATAGCAAAGAAAATTAATGTCTCCATATAATTAAGGGGTGAAAAGTACCCTTATTCTAAAATATCTCTATTCCTACTGCTTTGTAACTATTTTAAACCGTCATTTTTTTTAAAAGCTAAATCTTACTTTCCATTAATAGAAATATCTCTTGTTAAGTGGGAATTAAAAAATCTAAATTTAATCAACCTTACTAGTGTGTGAGTACAAAGTATGATCTATTGCTAGTATTATCGAGATATTTACTTGATTTATCAAATGTTGTTGCAAACGAGACATGTAACACGTCTGAATATTATCAAAGAGTACATCTAATCAATAAAATATTTGATAAGGACAAGAATTCGTAAACAAGTGCTATTTTAAAATAGTCTTTAAATCTTCGCCAATAACATAAAGTTAACGTCATATATTTAATCAAGGTATAATAACGTATAATATTGTGTATTTGTATTTACGTAGCTATCCTAAATAACGAAATTGATTTCGCAATCACAGTAATTTATCAGTTATTTTATCGTTATAGTTTATTGCCATCTGATTTAATGTTGATCTAGATAAATATAGCTTATATAAATGCTATTGAACTAATGAGTGTGTAAACTTGCACTATGAAGGTGTTAGTAATTTTTGCTGTGCTCGCGGTAGCAGCCAATGCGAAATCTATTAACCCTTTAGTACCTGACAATCACTCGGCTTACGGGTATTTGCAAGATGTTGGTGTCCCAGAAGCTGAAAGAATACAAAAGGCAGAAGAAGCATATCTGAGGGGAAGAATTACTGGAGGAGTTCCCGCTGCTCTTGGTCAAATTCCTTATCAGGTTTAATAAACTTTTTCATTCAATATTTTACCTTAGCGGAGTATGTTACGAATAGAGATCGATGGTATAGATTTAAACATTGAATTGGCTTAATAGCCCTTTTGGTATAAGAAATGACTGCCTAGCTGCACTGACCGTTGATTTCAGAGACCAAAATCGCTGTTTTAAACATACCAATTGTTATCTCCGCTCTATTAAAGATGATGACAGTTATGACGATATGTTTTGGTCTTAGAAATCAACTCTTAGTAATGTTATGGTTACTTGAACAGTAGCTGAATTTTATAGCTACATTCATCGGTTTCTATAATTAAAAAATAAAATGTAGAAGACCATAAACATGATCGTTCGTTACAGGCTGGCTTGATCACTGATATAATTGGCATCACCGGTCGTGGAGTATGTGGTGGTACGCTTATATCTCCAGACAGAGTGTTGACTGCCGCCCATTGTTGGTACGATGGTAGACATCAGGCGTGGAGGGTGACAGTGGTTCTTGGCTCTGTGCTGTTGTTCTCTGGTGGGAATAGGCAACAGACCAGCGTTGTTGCCATGCACCCCAACTGGGTTCCGTTCCTAGTCAGAAATGATATCGGTGTCATCTATCTGCATTCACCAGTAGCGCAATCAGGTAGGACAATTTTTGCACTTGCAGAAATTTTGAGCGTACCTAGTCAATTTTTTCCTGTTCCACTCTCGTGTTCTCTTTGAAAAAAAACAGAGACAACATGATTTTTATTTGTTTTATGTGTGTTAGTATCATGTTCGGATAGAAGAAAGCTGTATTTAACTCCCAAATGGATTTTCTAAATCATTTTGATTAAAAACTGAATGATAAAAACGCTACCTACGTTAAAGTACAATTTTTTTGACAGCTACAAGTGCTCCTATTGCGCTGCCAAGTGATGCTGAAACCGAAAATACTTTTGCCGGATACCGCGCTATTGCTTCAGGCTTCGGTGCTACTAGCACAGGTAATGAATATTCTGCTTGATTTTATGGTTTATACATCTTTTAATTTAGATTTGGTTAATTTTTATTTGTACAACAATTCGATTCTGTACACATACAATATTTTTTTTTATTTATGAGGGAAATGTTCATTCGCCTGATCTTTCTTTATGCTTTCGCTAAAACAGATTTTGTCCTCTTAATTGGTCTTAGCTTGCCCTCAGATAATTTTGAGGACTTTTCGCCTTTCATATATCCTTTAGACTTACAATTTTTTATTCAGGCATACTTCGCAAACAAGTTTTTAAAGTTAATTTATTTACAGGTGCTAATATTACCACCAACCAGTACCTGAGTCAAGTGAATTTGAACGTGATATCAAACAATGTGTGCAACATTGCGTTCCCATCAGTTATCCAAGCGTCGAATCTGTGTACTAGTGGTCTTGGCGGTGTGGGTGTTTGCGGCGGTGATTCAGGTGGCCCATTGGTTACCACCTACAATGGCAGACAAATTGTGGTATGTAGAAATGTTATTATAATAAGAGTTGGAATGAATTATATGACAATAGAGGGGAGGGGGGATTGTGTTTCAAATCATTGTCGGAAAAACTATTTTATTATATGGTTACAGAGATATGAAGTTAATGCATACAATTTTAGAAATGATACCCTTACATCACGACACGATGATTTTTCTAGATAGAACTTATATTCTTATCGATTTGGATTAGGCAGTTGGTTAATTGGCTTTATGTTAAATGCAATTTTTCTAAACCAAACAATGTATTTACAGATTGGAGTGACTTCCTTCGGTATTCGTTTCGGCTGTGACATCGGATATCCGTCAGCATTCGCTAGAGTTACTTCATTCCTGGACTTCATAAGATCGAATTTGTAAATAAACATTCTTATCCAATGTAATATTTATACAATCAAAATAATAAAAATGTAACAATCTCATTTCTTTTTTATTTAATTCGACATGTAAACTATCTGAGCAGAGATTCAAAGATATGTGTGAAGTCAACCAATCCTCACTGGGCCAGCGTGGTTGAATATGGCCTAGTCACCCCTAACATAGAGTATGCTTCGAGCCCCTCAGTTGAGACGTATAGTGAGCTGATGATGATGATATGTGAAATAATTTAAAACCATTTAATTAGTTCACATGAGAACAAAGACCGACACTTAATGGTCATTAAAAAAATCGGTGGCAAGAGAAAACGGAATAATGATTAAAGGGAATATAATGATGAAAAGGTCGTGTCTTCAGAAACCATCCACTTAAAACTTTTGGTATGGCTATCAAACTAACAATTATTGTATGCCGCTATTGCAAACATTGTTTATGCCATTCATGATTGTAATTAACCAAAATTATCATCTAATCCATCAAACTATTAATAATCTTCATTATAATACTTATCTTATAGATTTAATGGTAATTAACATTTCATAGATTGCAAAACAATGTTTATCCGGTTATAGATTTTCTGGTAATAGGGAATAAAATTCAACTATCTGTATCATATGATATTTTTTTTAAATATCAAATTAAGGTGTCTTAATAAAATCGATTAAAAAGTGTAAACCTGGTTGGTTATACGTATCTTGTAGTTAGAATGAGGGTTTTATAAGTCATTGAGCTTTCCTTCAGGATGTAAGCATTTCCAAAAATGCTATAAAAATCAGGCTTTAGCTTGGCGCTAAAAGTTCAGACCTACGTAGTCTGTGTTGATCTTCGTTGAAAGTAATAGTGATTCGCTATTTTTTTATTATTTATTTTCTTATTACGTACTTTAATCTTCCTTTACTCTTATTATTAAATTATTATCATCTGTAGTATCAAATTATTATCATAGCTTATTTAAAATTTAATACTTTTATCTAAATTTGATTGCTGGATGATGGATATAAAAGAATTTTTGATTTTCAATAATCGGAGTACGTATTCTGTTATTTCAAAATGAAGTTACTTCTGGCTCTTGTGGCAACTGTTGCCTTGGCTAACGCGAGGTTCATCGAGCCAGAGGTTCCTGAATACAACACCGCGTATGGGTACATGCAGAACTATGGTATCCCTCTGGCGCAGGCCATCTACAAAGCTGAACTTGAAAACAACGAGCCTAGAATTATCGGAGGATCTGCGGCTAGATTGGGACAATTCCCGTACCAGGTTTGTTTTCACTATTCACTCTTTGTGCCTTAAACGTAATAAATAAATGAGTTGATATTTCATTCAATAAAGTCTTGGGATTTGTTGACCATTTGATAAAGACAATTTCGGATAGTTAACTTATGTATTAGCCTTAAATATTATAATTTCATCATCATAAAATAAGTTTGGCGTCTATTGTATAGATTTAAAAAACTTTACACTAATAAAAACCGATTTTCCACAGGCTGGTCTGATCTCTGACATCGTAGGCACCAGTAACCGTGGTGTCTGCGGCGGTTCTTTGGTGACCACTTCCAGGGTGGTGACTGCTGCTCACTGCTGGTTTGACGGCCGCAACCAGGGCTGGAGGTTCACTGTAGTATTGGGCTCCATCACTCTCTTCAGCGGTGGCACCAGGCTGGAAACCACCAACGTTGTTATGCACAATAACTGGAACCCGAGCACCGCCCGTAATGATGTCGCTGTAATTCGCCTAAACAGCGCTGTATCCACATCTGGTATGCTCTTTTACTTTAAACTACGCTTCATTCCTCACTTAAAAAGGTTACCTGACAAGACTTGATACTGATTTGAAGAAGCGTTTTAATAAAATTATTTGATTTCAAAAAAAAATTAGTGCTTCTGGAACGAACAACTATAATATTATAGTACAGTTGGAAGGTTTTTAGGGAGTCCCTTTATTGAAATTTATTTTTTTACAGCCAACATTGCAACAATAGCTCTGCCGACTGGCTCTCAATTGAACGAGAACTTTGCGGGTAACACTGCTACGGCATCTGGCTTCGGTCTTACCAGGCAAAGTAAGTGCGAATTTCCCTAAATGTATAAATATAATATGGATTTATCACCAGAAAAGGGACATTCACTAATAGACAAAGGTGCCACACATTTTTTTCTTTCTTTCGTACAATGGATTCTTACAATCTTATTCAAATCATAGGTTTACTGTGTAGAAGACTTATCAATGTTTAGATTTTTATATTCACATATATTTATTCCAAATTACCGATGCTTTTGATATCTTAAAGTTTTTGAAAAATATTGCTTTGCTTGTATTCCAGATGGCCAGATTACCACTAGTCAATTCTTAAGCTTCGTCAACCTGAATGTCATCACAAACAGCGTCTGCACTCTGGCGTTCCCACTGATCGTCCAGTCCACCAACATCTGTACCAGCGGCTCTGGTGGTAGAGGTGTTTGCGGTGGCGATTCTGGCGGACCCTTGACTGTTGTGAGGAACAACAGACCACTCTTGGTAAGTTTTTAAGTCTTTCTTGATTTTAGTAGAAGTATCGCTGAGATCGATAGATCTTGCTAAAATTATAAATGTGAAAGTTTCGATATATGGATGTTTGTTAGAAGGTATGTCCAAAATGGGCAAAAACGTTGTTTAAGCAACTCTTTTCTTGCAACAATTTTTAGAGTCGGTTCTGTGGTTTTCACGTTACCCAATATAATGAAATCTTTTGCTTCATAATTATTATCCAAGTATATAGATATTTAAACGGAATTCCGTATTTTCTTAAAGTACGAATTGTGCGTAACCATTATACCGTGAAACTTCGCCGCCAAAACACTTGGTGTGTCAGTTTTTTCAATGAGAATAAAGAGATGAGATTATATTAGTGTTTGGAACTGTAAATCGATAATTACAATGGTATAATTATTATTTTTCAGATCGGTATCACGTCGTTCGGCTCTGGTCTCGGCTGCGAGAGGAACCTGCCCTCCGCATACGCAAGAGTCACCTCCTTCGTGAATTTCATCAATCAGAACATTTAAATAAAATGTATGAGACATATCCTCAATAAACGACCAAAGTGTACAATAAAATAGAGTAAATAAACCTATTTTTAATAAGATATTATTGTTTCACTCTTCTCTCACCTTTCTTATAAAGATCTTGACAGACAGACAAAGTGATCCTATAAAGGTTCCGTTTCTTTTCTTTATGAGGTACGGAACTCTAAAAATCAACAAACTTTCGGGGTTGGGAATTTACTTTCTTGACTGTATAAAAGAACAAACAATTTGTCGTTGAAACAAATCGTCTATAGTCCATATAAATTAAAATGATCATTCAACAATTTCGATCACGTATCGAATTAGTGTGATAAAGTTCATTAAAAAGATAAAGTGCAATAAATTAGTATTGGGTTTTCCCATCCGTGCATACAAACAGGGAAGCATAACATTTCGTAATATAAGGAAATTATAAAAATGGTAATCCATTTTTGACTCGAATATATCAAAGAGAAAAAAAAGATTTTTTAATCAAGTATCCCAACAGTTGTCGGCTTCACTTAGACGGAAGAAACTTCAACCGTTCCAAAAGTTATTACAATAATTGCATATTCAGATGCGTTTTAATATAATTTTAATGAAATAAAACAAAAGCTTGTGTCGTATTATGTAAAATCCCATATAAACATAAAATTAAAAATTGTCAGTGTTGCTATGCAGCAAATTCGGCAACAAAAATTTGTGATACCTCCTTTTTGTTTTATGACCACATTTTGGTCGTCTTACCGTGGGTTTCTTAGACCAAAATTATACATATATTATATATCAACTATTAAGACTATTCATCAGATTCTTTGTTAGTTTATTATTCAAGTATTACATAATATATATCATCCCTGCCATTATCTTTGACAAAACAGAGATAAGAATAATGTTTTCAACTGGGATTTTGATCCCAAAAAGCCACAGTTAGTTTCTATTATAAAACCTTTTAGAAATACGTATTTGAGTATCTTTAGCGTTAAAATTTAAGTTCACAAAGTTTAGGTTATGTTTTATTATAACAGAATTACAATATCACAGACAACAATGTTATCCGGTTTCGTCTGTAAGACCATAAATCATTATTATCTTTTAATGCATTTTTATCTGATGTCCAATTATTATGATGTCGGCTTAGCTTTATCTAATCTATTAGTTCCATTTATTTTTATTCTGTTAGTAACAATAAGCACTCATATATAATGGATAAAATTATCACCTACGTGCTACAAAACACACAACAAAAGAATCAAAACGAGAGATTTTTTTCTCTATTATTTCTATCAGATTAAACTTTCTTTCCCTTTCCACCCCTTTTTTATGTAAAGGATGTGAAGTGAAGGAAAACTATTCTCTTTCTGTGCATCCTCTCCTCCGTCGATTAAAGGGAGGCAACGGAATTGCGGATGTCTATGGCAACGGTCGCTTCGCTCTTTCAGTGATTTTAGTTGGTATGATATAAAAAAAACATCGATTAATTCCTCTCTTATTCTGATGTCAGAAATCAATTTTCATTCTACTAGCAATTTATAGTTATATGTTGTGTGTTCAGTTTGTAAACTCCCGATATATGTTGACTTAGATACTTGTAGGTAGGGGTAAATGTAACATTGAATTTCCATCCGCTCCGATGTTGTTGTGTGGAACAAACAATAAGATTTGATTGGCTCCACCAACAGCATTCAGTGCCTCGTCTGCGACCGCACTACGTTCGTTAGCTGCAACTTTATTGAATATGAATAACGAAATTTTAGAAAATGTTACCTTGTTGTGGCCTAGAAAGTAAAATTCTAAAATTGTATACGAATATAATATTTGTATAAAACAGACTAACCTCAATTTAAAAATAGCGTTATAAAAATGCTTTGAGATCTAAAATATTTTTGTATCTAAATTTTATTTACGGATTGTATAATAATAATACGTTATGTATGCAGAGGCGATGTTTTCTATAAAAAACCCATTGCCTATTTGCTTAAAGTGTTTACCTATTATATAAATTGTTAAGTATATAGGTAATTTTCCTACATATACGTTTCATTTACCTTATATAATACTGATAGTGGTGCAGATAAGCCGTTGCAATCTACAGTAAATATGCAATTAAACGAACACGACGAGCGAATAATCAAGAATGCACAGAGGAGTGCATTGTCGTGTCGCGATGATTTTTTAAACAGCGACCAGTGTGAGGCTCCTCTTTTATACTGATTTTAAACTTCATATATATTTGTAACTATATTAGTTTGTAACGTATTTAAAAGTATTGTAATAAGCTATAAGCAACTGTGGTGCTGTGCAAAATAGTAACGTCTGAGCTCTTACTGATATGAAAGTCTAACTATGATGGATTTATACCGTCTAGATTAATGACATTCTCAAGAAGGGATTAAAAGCAACCGAAACCGATATGTATGCGTAGATATATGTACGTAGAAGAAATGTAAGAGTTATGTCAGGGCCGAACCAAATGGAGGTCTGTCTCTGCATACCCTCAAGCCTACGGGCGTTGGTTATGTTGTTAAAATATGATAAATTAAGGGCAGACAACAACTAGTGCAGTCAAATTTTAATAAACGAAGACCCAAACACTGACGGCGAAAAGACGACCAGAGACTCTTGACCCTAGTAGGAACCAAAAGACTTCGAGTCGAAGAGCGGTGTCAGCTACGAAGATTCTAATGTTTATAAGTACTAAGAGCTAAAAGCACTGAGGTGGCAACCCTAAGTGCACCTTCTACATATATTTGATACATATGAATAGAACAGATTATGATGCACGGGGCGATGCTACGAGTGTATCAATTCCGTCGCAGATTACCGACTCAATTATTCTCGCTGCGTCAATCACTCGCCGGGAAGGCAATCGATATACTGATGCCAATTTTGAGTGATCGTAGACCAAAATTGTTTTGAAAGGTCATAGTTGATCTGTTAAAATGTGCATATATAATATAACTTTATTTTTAAGTTTTCATTTCAGTGGTTAATGATCATCTTACGACTTATCGAGTTCATACAACCTTTGCTTGTAGGTAGGGAACTGTAAAGAAATCATAATTTTTAAAGGTAAGTAGTAATGTTTAAATAATTATTTAATAAATCCTATAATCCTGTTACTCTGCGTCTTTGTAAATACTGAATTAAAAAATTAGAAGTTCCCTATTAATTGCCTGAAAGATATTTTCATTTCTCGAATTATTTGATTTCACTTAAGTTAAAAGCCGCTTCAGATATTTTCTCTGTCGTAAAAAATATTTCTCTGGTCAAATTACACTTTTATTATTTGAATGAGCTTTTAACATAATTAATCGAAAACAAAGAAAATTAAGCACTTTGTAATTTAAAATTTACATTAAGTATTAGGCTTACTTTTATGGTTATAAACATAATTATTTATTTTTAAATTTTCATATACAAAATTACTTTTTAAGTTCTTTATAGTCTTATTAGGTGTCGCTCGCGACTCCGTCCGCGTGGAATTAAAAAAAACTATTCGTCGCAGCGTAATGTTATATAGTCTAAAGCCTTCCTCTATAAATAGACTATTCAACAAAAAAAAATTCAGTTTCTAAGAATAGTGCGTTTAAACAAACAAACTCTTCCGATTTATAATATTAGTATAGATGAATGTTTAATTAAAAAAAAAAAACAAGTTTAAATAAGGTCTGATAAGTGACTTGAATATAAAAGTGTCACTATCTGTAGACAGTTTAAGTAATGAACTAGATTAAAGGACGCTAAAACGCTTGTAATCTAATGGCCACGCCTTTTAACTCATTAAAGGGTTTAAAAACTCGTCTAAAGTGAAACAGTACGAGAGTAAACGTCATTAATGTTAAAATATTGTTTAGGGACGAGGCTCGGGACCGTCAGTGTGAAATTTTAATCACAGGTAAAGTATGCATTTAAAAGCCTAAAGCAACAACTTTACCTACTTAACTGGGAACTAAGGACTTGATGTATACAATGTAAATATAGCGCAGTTTCTAAATATTATTTTACTTTATCATCTCCATTATCATTAGTTTGTACCGTATAAATGTACGACGTCGATCGGTTAGGTTAATTATACTTTTAGTTTTATTTTGTTTATTTATTTGCACATTTACGTTGTGTTACATATGCTTCTTGATAATTGTAATTAAACTCGCAGTGATTTCTAAGTTCCTTATAAAAAAGCTTAATATAAAAGGGATACAATTTATTCCATGAACCGTCACGACCTGTGGATCGTTATCTGTGTCCATATCAAAATAAACTTAAAAAAAAAACATATGTATTTCGGACACGTGATTTATTTATGTTGGTAATAAATTATTTTTAAATTTTTGTTTCATTGTCTGTCTGTCTGTTCGCAAAGCCGCTTTTGTTCCTGTTGATCTTCGAAATAGTTGAGCCAATTTTCACAGGAAGGTAGTTAATGAATGCAG